CCCTTCTCTGAAGAGTTTTAAATGCATAAAATACATAAAACTATAAAAGAAACCACTTATAGCGAAGTATAATGATCCGAATGTGACTATTGTGTGACCTAGTCACACATGCTTCTTCAGCAGTAATGTTGAGGCAGATCTCCACATCAACATTGCTGCAATTTCAAAGTCCTGTGCTTTGAGCTATCTGCTGCAGTTGAAATAAGAGGATTATCTGTGATTACAACTGCTGATACTATTGGGGATTGTTGCCTACATTTAGGTAGAAGGAAATGCTAAGTTGCCATTAGTGGTTAGGAAAAACAAAGATGCATTTTTTTTTCCCCATCTGAGAACAGGGCCCTCTGAATTCTATACACAGATCCTTGGAGGGCCCAGGGACCCAGGTTAAGGAGCGCTGTTTAAGGTCAGGAGAAGGAGGAGCATGTTGGCTCATGAGAAGTTCCTTGTGTCGGGAGCAAGAGAAAGTGGTGGGTGGAGGCACTGACTCGGAGGCATCACAGCACAGGGGCTGTGCCAGCTTTGGGGAGGCACAGAGACCTGCTGTGGTCTGGCTGCTTCAAGGAAGGAACTGTGGCAGGTGTTTCCATGTATCAGGGCTGTTTAGAGATGTACACCCAAAGGCTGCTTGGCCAGCTGGGGATCTGATTCTGGTCTCCCAGCTGCTTGTTTTGGTTTCAAATCTCCCGACCCGGGTTTCAGCAGCGCCTGGGAGACCAAGTGTGCGTTGAGATGAGCATGTCCAGCTTCTGTCCCTGGCCCTTTTCAGCGAAGTTTCTCTTAGAGAGTCATTGGGTTGGCCCCTAGAATTAGCCTAAATCCATTGGCTTACTTATTTATATTGGGCTTTTTAGGCTACATGGAAACGCTTCACAGTGTCCCACATGGAATCCAAGAGCAGAAGGTGAGGCTTGGCCTTATGGAGTGGGAGACTGGATTGGGGAGGAGTTAACCTCCTCTTTTCTAAGATCAGATCTTTCTGTAACTGTGAAGCATACAATGGTGGCCCTAACCCACAGGCTACCTGATCTTCTGGCTCTTGAACCCAAAACTATTCAGGTTTTTGAGTCTCTTAAGGGGAAGAATCTCATTGGTCCAGCTCTACTCAGGTGTCCTCTGTGACTGGGCTCACGTGGCTCCTGCCCCTTGTCCCCGGCATACATGCAGCAGGTGTCTGAGTAATTGATGTAGTTGTGCTGGTGAATTGGGCACATCTGTTGCATGATTAACTCATTTACAGCCAAGCTCACTGTGGCAAAACCTGCCTTTTCTCATCCCTACTTTGAGAAGTGTCTGCTGAATGCCCAGCCCTCCCCAGGAAGCAGGTGCCACCTTGCAGGGAGGAAACATTTAGCATTTGTAACACACATCACTGTGGGTGTAGGGATTTTTTTTTCTTTTTCTTTTTTTTTTTGAGACAGAGTCTTGGTCTATCACCGAGGCTGGAATGTAGCCCCCTCCAACCTCCACCTCCCAGGTTCAAGCAATTCTCCTACCTCAGCCTCCCAAGTAGCTGGGACTACTGGCGAACCATCACCCTGGCTAATTTTTTTGTATTTTTGGTAGAGATGGGTTTTTGTCATGTTGGCCAGGCTGGTGGAAATTCTTCTGTATCGACAGGGCCAGCAAAGAGCAAAGCACACAATGCACGCTTCTTTTAATACTATTTAGTGTGCTTTACATATTCTTTCCTCTTTTTACTATTTATTTGTGAGGAGTTTCTCTTGCTTCATAGATAAGGAAACTGGGGCTTAGAGAGATTCAATCACTTGCCCAGCCTATTCTAAAATGGATTAAATTCCTTGATGTCTTTTACAACAGTTCACTGAGCACATGACTCATGCCATCACTTATTGATGCCTTGGGATTGTGGAACATCAGTTAGTTCCCGGAACTAACTAAGACTGTGGGTGCCCGTAAGGTTTTTATTGACTGCGACGGGTGTTCAGCCCACTCGGACTTGGGTGACCTGCTTTTGTATCTTTCATCTGGTTTTTAATTTTTCCACCTCCTTCTCTGCTGCCTGGCTGGCCTCTGCTATCAATAAGCCTGCTTCGGGTAGCTTCCTCTCCCTTTGTATGGAATGGACTAAGAAATCTACACTGTTAGGGTTGTGTGAAAAACGAGAACAGTGAGGCTTAGGCTGGGATCTGGGGACACTCGTTACAGAATATAACGTATTTAACAGGGCATGGGCTTCATGCCAGCTTGTCTTTCTCCTCAGAAGTCATTTTTGCTCAGTCCTACATTTAGAAAGAACCCAGATTCAGCTAGAAATTGGCTCTCTGAACACAGAGGATGCCTTTGCATTCCAATTTTGTCAGTAGGGGTGATTGAGAGCTCTGCAATATGCTTTTGATAATAAAATGCTCTGGCCATTTCCCCTAAATCCCATTTTCCTCAAAATTCAGCTACCTGATATCCTAAGAAATTGCCCTAACATCTATATATTCATCTTAATCTGAGGCACCCACAGGTCTCCACAACCTAAGTTCCAATTTTGAAACAAATATGCTTCAGGTTAGTGTTCTTAGAAAGAATGCGTGTGACAATTATATTTTTATTGGAATGGAGTCTCCCCTCGACTTTTATTATACTCTCATCATGTATTTTGGGGTGCAGTGGATGAGAGAGATTTGGCCAGGAGGTATCAAAAGAGGCATTCACTTCATTCGCCGCAGCCGTCTGCACATCTGCTCATACAGCTCAGCATACACCGTGTGCTGTGCTAGGCTTGGGAGACACAGAAAAGTATAACACACCTTTTCTGCTTTAGAGAAGCTGGGTTTTCAATCAAGTTACAGCATAAGTTGAAAACATAAATGGAAAAAAATTAAGGGGCTAAGCAGTCTATAATTGAGGTAAAAGAGCATTCAACTGAGTATAAATAGCGACACTATAAGTATAGATAGTTTTCTTTACATTTGCTGTTTTAAATAAGGATTAAATAAATTAAATATACGAACACGCATATTGACATTAATTCTTACTGCAGCCTTGCTGATTACCCCCAGTTTATGAAGAAACTCAGCTAATAATAGATGTGTTTAGTAAGTGCTTAATGTTCTGAATTTATTAAGTGCTTAGTGTTCTAAGCTCTATTTTAAAATTTTGTAGGCAATGTGCATCCCACTGAGGAGTAAGTACTATTATTTTCTATAGCTGGAGAAACAGGCTCAGATGGGCCTAGTAAGGAATAAAGTCTATCAAGATCCACTTGAGGCCCAACATCAGGACTGTTTCCACTGCATCTGCAGCCTCCCTTACACTTCTTTTTCCTCCTCTTGGTTCCTAAGGCAGCTGGCAATAGACACTCTGTCCATCCATCCAGTCCCTGCTTACTCAGTCCTTCACATGTGCCTGCTTCTGAGCTAGGCTCAGAGGATGCAGTTACAGTCCCTGACCTCACAGTACTCAGTCTCCTTGGGGATGTAGAAAATCACTGACTACATGAGTGAGTGAACAAATGAATGCCAAAAACTTCATTTTATATTTACATGAGGTGTCTTTCAGCCTGAATACATTGGCAGCCTTTGAGTTCTAAAATTTGTGTTTCTAAGCCCATTTCCAAACTTTTGAGCCATTTTAATTTCTGTATATAAAATATCAGCCCTGTTTTCCACCATCTGCACATTTATTGAACGTGCTCGATGCTCCATCATTCTCTCGTAACAGCTGCATGTACAAGAGAAGCCACCAAATCCAGTACAGTAAGTGACTTTGCTGATGGTTTATTACCTTAAGGAGAAAAGTCTTAAAACAGAGAAACTGAGCAATGAAAATCCTTCATATTGAGCAAACATGTTCCACACTACACAAATCATGAGAAAAATGAAACTATTGTAAAACATGACAGATTACCCAAGTGTTATTTTTCTTCTATTGGAAAATTCTAAGACATTTCCTTGTGTGTAGTTTTTTAGTTACAAAAATGGCAGTAGGAATATTTAAATATGAAATCACAGTTTGAAAATAGATACATACATACATACATATATATATATATACACACACGCAGAGATACATAGTTGACTGTTAGGATTTCCAGATATGCAGGATTATCACTGTGGCTGCTTTGCATCGAGACAAGTTTGTAAAAAGCAGTGACATAGTTCAACATAATAGGAGCCGAATTACTTCCCCATAATTTCTATGGACACAGAGTACAAAGCTAGCAAGATTATAGACAATCATATCATTTGAATCCACTTTCTTTGATCACTCTCTGAATCATTTTTAAAGTTAAAATCACAGCTATTGTCAGTAAAACGCCTCTTAGAAAGATCATGCCTTTTGATTTGGAGGACAGAATAGGCGTAGCACCAGAGGAGATGGCTCAGGTATCAGACCATCCTGAGTTTCCAGTCTTGGTCTGCTGTTCACTGGCTGGTAAGACCTTGAGGAAACTACTAAACTTCTCAGACTCAGATGATAATGCCATGTTCTTTAGGTTTGCTGTGAGGGTTAAATGAGATATGGCAGAAAAGCACCTTCCACAAGGCTTGGTGTGAGCTAAGCACTTATCAAGTGCTAATAATAAGGTTTAGTACGATTTACGTTGGTGAATTCAGGTCTCTCTGCCTTTCCCACACCTAAGCACACCTGCATGATTCATTCTAAGTACTCATGTAAATTTCCTCAGCAAAGGATAATCCTTAGTGTACCTTGCCTTTGTCTCAGAACATATAGTTAACAACGGACCAGAGAGGTGATGATCTATTTGGTCTATTTGAAGCCCCTTGTAGAGGTGACTCTCCAATAGGAGTCATTCAAGTCTTTTCTAGAGGCCTCTGCAAGAGCAGGGGCTGGTAGAACAAGCTAATATTTGGGCTCTAACTTTTTGGTGGCTGACTTCTCAGAACATCTGAGTCTCAGATTTAAAAGTCACCATTTATAAAATGGTGAAGAGACGCATACTCAAAATTTCTAGAATAACTAAATAAGGTAATGAACTTTGCATAGTGCTTGGTACCAAGTTAACAATCAATGAAGATTTTTCTATTATATTTGTTATTAGTAATTTTTATTGAATCAGGCCACACCATTGCAGGGAAATTCTGACTGTTAGAAAGAACTTTGTTAAATTGGATCCAAATTTCCTTCTCCATGGCTTCAACCCATGGGTCTGAGACTTGCCCTCTGGGCTCTGCATAAGATATTTCCATTTCTCAAAACTGGTGGTGCCTGAGTGAATCTGGCCACCTTCTCCTACCCATTGCCAAGAATAATCCCTAGTTTCTCCAACCAGGCTTCCTGTGATCTTTGAAAGCTAATTTCAGTTTCCCAAATTGAGATGAAAATTCAGTAAGAACCTAGCTTTTGGATTTCCACTGAATTTCAAATGGAATGAGCTGTCATCTAGCCTTGTAATTTGTAGACAGTAGGTGTTTTCACTCTAAGAAAATCTAATATGATCCAGACTGACTTACAGAAGAGATCATTCATGGGGTGAATTCTCTTTATACAAGAATTCTTGCATATGTATAGACAAATATATGTATATATGCATATGCATTTCTTTAAAATATTAAATGTCTTTTTTGCTATGGCACTTAATATAAAATTTTGACTATTAAAATTATATTTTCATTTAGCTTTGGAAGAAGAGAGCTTCAGAATAAAAGTAGGAACACATGCATAGCTTCCGGTATTCATCAAGTATTTAATGAGTACCACTGTATACCTTGCACTGGACTAGGCTTCACAGAGGTCACAGTAAGGGGGGTGTATTCCCAGTCCTTTTCCTGTTTAGGAATCTCTCTGCACACTGCACATAGTTCCCTGTGAATAATTACACAACATTCAACATGCAGCACTGGGTAAACAGAATCATCTTTTAAATGTGTGATGAGAACTGGTTCTGATTGGAAAGAGGAGATAAGCTATAGAGGATTCGTGGATTTTTGTCTGTTCCATATGTTTTGGATGCTTAAGCCCTTAAATTATCAGAAAATCAGATACTCTTATCTTTTGAAAAGAAGCTGGAAAGACAATAAGAGGCAAAAATGACAGTGAAAATCAAGCCATTTATTCCAAGATGTGTTCCTATTCTGACACATTTGGAAACTCTTTAAAAAAGGGGGGGAAATATGGGTTATAAAGACAGTCCAATTTCTATCTGAATACTAACTTTCCCACTCACCAACTAGGTGACTCTGGGCAAGCTTTCTCACCTCTCTGAGCTTCCATTTCACATTTGTAAAAACAGAAATAATAATGGGAACTTCTCAATATTGTCGTGAAGATTTAGTGAGCTAATATACACAAAGCACTGAGAACAATGGCACAGAAAAGATCCTAAATAAAAGAATTATAATAGTAAATACTATTTTTTACTAACAAAATAAATAATAGCCTGATTTTCATTAACAATAACCTTTGCCTTTTAGCTTCAACCTAATCAGCTTTAAACCCTTGTTCAGCCTACAGTATTTCTGTTTCTAAACAACTGGTAAACCTCTATCTTCATACCAGAAAACTGGCCATTTGGTCAGCAGAACCGAAGGCCGTGAAATGAGTCTCTTCATTAGATGTGTCCTGAGCATGGGAACCACTGGAGTCCCATAGCCTCCAGCTCTAGAGGCCACCCAGGCTGCTACCAAGTAGATTCACTTCTTAGTTTGACCCACACCCCAACCTGAACTTGTCTTGGTCATTTCAGTGGGTCTGGCATGGTCTGCAGCTGGGTCTCCCAAGGCTCTGTAAGAGTAGAAAAATGTTTCAGGGCACCACTCTCAGGGACGAGACAGGCCAGTTCAGAGGCCCTGGCAATTTCTATGAGCCCCAAGCAGAACACGGGAGAAGATTCAAGGAAGAGCCCGGCCAACTGCCCACAGCACTGCCAGTCAGCAGCTGATGCGGTGTGAGGGTCGATCGGTCCTTCTGACATGGGCTGACCTTGCCCTGTCTCTGGAGTATTAACTGGGGACTTTTCCCATCACTAAGAATGTTTATCAAATTTTATTTCTGACTGGGATAAATCTAATCTGTACCTTCATAGCGTAGGGCGAAGAGAGACTTAGCCTCCGCAGTACTCAGGTTAATGGATACAACTTTCTGTTAAAAATCAAAACCAAACAACTATTCACCTCACTTGGCAAATGTTTGATGATCTTGGGGTGCATACATATTTGGAATCTGGCTTGTTTTGGTTTGCTGAGGTCAGAATTACCCATTACAGTACCACTTGGCAGGCTCCAAATAATAGACGATTCTATTGTTCTAAATCCCGTCTATCCATCTGAATGGGCCCAAAGAGTCTTGTGATATGGCATCTAAAGAAGAAATCAGTGATATTGGAAGTCTGCCGATTTCGTTTCTTGGGAGTTAGGCAAGATCCAGGACTTCTAGTGACTTGGAAAGGCGGGATCAGGCCTGGATGTAGTCCAGAACAGCTAGCAACAGGCATTTTTCTTTAGAGTAGATGCTTAATATTGCCAGGGAGAAAACTCATAGTATGGGCCTAGCAGCCCCATCATGGATCATTTGGGTGGTTAGAGACGGAAAAGGAGGCCAAGGGTCCAGATCAAGGTAACTAGGAATGAGTGGAAAACTGACAGAACAAGGCTCAATGCTGAGAAGTTACTGGCCCTAATGGCTGACTGCTTTGCAGGCGTTAGGCCAGCCCCCAAGACCCAAGATTTGTGCCTGCCTAGTTGGCAATTTCTGAGAAGTCAGGGTAGGATTCCAAGTCAGCAAAGATGTCATTGGGATTCCTACAGGTCAGGTTGCAGAAGCAGGCATTAATCCATAGGACCTGGCGGGAAAAGCCAAGCCCATCAGGACACTGGAAGGACACATTGATGGTCTTGGACTTGTAGGGGATGCAGCACCTGTTGTCCATGCAAACCCCACAGTACTTGGGTCGATAGGAGCGTGTGCTGACGCAGCCCGCCAGGGTGAAGTTTGTGGGTGCCTCTGGCTGGTACACAGCCAGACACTTCTTCCCTGCCTGAAGGAAAGAAAAGGAGCTTTTAGTGGGGGTGCTCAGAGAATGGACAACCACTTTCTTCCCTTGAGCCCCCACTATTTCCCTTCTCACTATCTGGGAGCACTCGACTTTACTTTCAGCTTCACAGCATCCTCCCAGGAGGGACAACAGCAAACACAGTGAGACCCCGCGTACTGCACAGGGGTAGACGGAGGACCACAGAGAAAAATGCTTTCTTTGGGTTGTATCTCACAGCCTGCAGTTTCTCTTGCCTAGGCCCAGTCATTCATCATGGTTACACCAACACAGGGAGCCTGTGTAACTCCTTCATCCAAGCAAGCTTCCCTGGCTAGCTAGTGGCAGAACTGGCACCAGGACTCCACACTCAGGAGACACACTTTGCCCCAATCTCCCTGCCCGCCTTTGCCTCTCATACGCACCTTTAATATGCAACTTATTCAAATGGATTGACATTATTTAAAGGTAGCTCCACCTCCACTTGAGATGTGGTGTTGCTTCAGCATCTCTGTGGTATAATTTCATGCCTAGTACAGAGCAGGCACTTACTAAACCCATTGGATTGAGGGCTCTCAGGGCCTACTATGTACCAGCACCATGCTAGATCCAGGCTGTACAATGGCATAGAGCTTGCCCAATTTGGAAAACCCTCTTAGGGCACATAATTCTGGGGGAAAAAATGGTTGGAAATCAAAATTGGCTTGGACTTGCATTATCTGGTCTAGTAATGGTAGAGCCATCTCACTCAGTTGAGGACCCTGGCTCTCATTTTTCTGCAGCTGGTAACTTTGCCATGTTATGTTTTCAGTTAAGAGGTGTCTATGGAATGCCTACTGTATACCAAGCACAGAAAATACAAAGGCTAGTATACAGGGAAAAAGAATCCGAGAGGAAGAAGGAGGGAGAAGAACAGAAGGAGAAAAAAGAAAAATGGATCCAGTTGAATAATATAGAGATGACTGGAGAAGATGTCTGGGGATGAGGAGTGATGTTGGGTGTCTGGAGAGGATCACAGGGAGCTGTGCTGTCTTTTCTACACAAGAGGCTTTTGCTTTGTTTTTCATATGACAAAAGGCTGACCACTCCTATGGCATGAGCGAGGGGGACTTGAATTAGATAAATAACACCCACTTCTAACTCTGAGGCTGGGGCTCAAGCTAATGTGGCCCAATTTTTTTTTAATGCTCTATTTTAATTATCTTGGACTCCCAAAGCTGAAAGGGATTTCAGAGATCAACTCTAATATCTTAATGATGAGGGAATGGGGGCTCAGAGATGAGCGGAGATTGGCCACAGTCATGTGCAATTAATGCAAGTAGACATTTGACTCTAGGGTTCCTGAGCCTCATGTAGGGCTCCCTATATCACCCAGTGTGGCTGCTCTGTGTTGGCCGCTGGTGTGGGAGTGGAGGGAGGGTGGAAATTGGTAAGAAGCCCTCAAAATCATTATAGAAGACCACTCCTGAGGGTCCCTGAGGTTTCTCTCGAGTGACCCTGATTCGAATGATAACTACCAAAACTTCCATTGAGTTAAATTCACAATGCACCAGCCTGCTAACCTGCATTATCCCAAAGAGCTGGTATACCAGGCCTACCAGGTGGGCTTAATTATTCCCACGTTACAAATGCTCCCCACGGGGACGTTCAGGAGCCAGACTCAAACCCAGGTTTGTCTGCCTGTGCAGTCCAGACGTCCAGCCCTGCTCTGGACCCACCTTGATGAGCGCACGGAGGTCCAGATCGCATGGCCGCAGGTTGCAGAGGCGGCTCTCTTGCTCGGGCCAGCACTGGGCGTTAGCATTGGATATCCGAGTGGAGATCCCCAGGCCGCAGCTGGTGGAACACGGGCTCCAGGAGCTTGTGTGGGCGATGCAGTTCCTGTGCCACGGCTCCGCCTCACCCACAGCGTCTGTGTGTGGGGACCAGAATCTGCATGAGTCTAGAGCTCCCAGCAGCCCCAACCCTCCCCTTCACGACATTGAGGTTTGGGGTCCCCAGAACTCAGAGGAACAGGGAGAAGTTGGCTGTCCCTCCCCACCGGCCAGCAAGTTGGTTTCTAACCAGCAAAGATACCCAGGGAGTGGAGGACATGTTCTCAGGTCCTTGTATTTTTCTGATCAAGAGAGGCAGTGTGGAAGCATGGGAGCAAACCCATCTTTACAGACAGGTAAACCCACGTTCAAATTCTGCTCCACCACCTACAAGCTGTGTGAGCTTAGATAACCCACCTGGGCCTGTCTCCTTATTAGAACAATAACAACTGCACCTGCCTGTGGGGCTAGCAACACAGTAATAGGGCCTACATTTTTACTCAGTATGCATCAAGCCTCTTCCTAGGCGCTGGAACTAGGACTTTTTTTTTTTTTTGAGATAGAGTTTTGCTGTTGTTACCCAGGCTGGAGTACAATGGTGCTACTGTAACCACTGCCTCCAGGGTTTTAGGCTATTCTCTTGCCTCACCCTCCCAAGTAGCTGGGATTACAGGCATGCCCGTCTAATTTTGTATTTCTAGTAGAGACGAGGTTTCACCACGTTGGTCAGGCTGGTCTCGAACTCCTGACCTCAGGTAATCTGCCCGCCTCGGCCTCCCAAGGTCCTGGGATTACAGGCATGAGCCACAGCTTCTGGCTGGGAATAAGACTTTTAAAAGACATTTCCGTGCCTCTGAAGAGATAAAGTTTATTTGGAGGAAGTTTTAAGTCAAGTAGCTCCATCCCAGCACCTAACATTTTGTGTCAGTGATGCTGAGGACATACAGGGCTGGGTGCGGTGGTTCACACCTGTAATCCCAGCACTTTGGGAGGCTGGGAAGGGCAAATCATGAGGTCAGGAGTTTGAGACTAGTCTGGCCAACATGCTGAAATACTATCTCTACTAAAAATACAAAAAATTAGCTGGGTGTGGTGGTATGCGCCTGTAATCCCAGCTGCTCAGGAGGCTGAGGCAGGAAAATCACATGAACCTGGGAGGCAGAGGTTGTAGTGAGCCGAGATCACGCCACTGTGCTCCAGCCTGGGCTAAAGGGTGAGACTCTGTTTCAAAAATAAATAAATAATTAAAATAAAGAGGACATACAGGCTTCAGAGTCACCAGGGTTCAACTGGCAGCGCTGCCACCTGCTGGCTCTGTAACTTCCGGTAAGCTAGCTCACACCTCCGTGCCTCAGGACGCCCACCCGCAGGCGGGGTTGACTATAGCATCCCTTTCCAGGGCTGTGATACAAAAGATGACTTCAGGCCTACGAAAGCACCCAAGCTGTCCTGGCCTTTAGTAACCTAAGCCCTTGGTTAATGCGACTCTGTGGTCTTTGACTGTCAGCCGACTCAACTACCCACTCTTGGATGGTCCTATTGATGCATGTATCCCCAGCGTCTAGAAGACGGTAGGTGTTCTCTATCTGAAAAATGGAAAATGGTGGTGAGCTCAAGACCGAGGCAGGTAAAAAGCTGTAAAGACAGAGTACTGCCCACGGAAAGATGGAACAAGACGCAGAGGAGAGGAGGCCTGTCCCATCTGAACACACATGTGCATGAGCACAGGAAGGAACAGGCAGAGAGGGAAGGGAAGGGATGGAAATACAGACGTTCTGGGAAAAAAGAGAGAGAAAGAGAGGAGGAGAGAGAAAAAGTGTGAGAGAGAAAGAAACAGGAGGAAAGTAATAAAAGTAAAAAAAAAGAATGAAGGGAAGGAAAGGGGAAAAGAGGAACACAGGAAAGCAGAGAAATCTAACTAGGATTAGAAGGAGAGAGAGGAAAGGTAAGTCAGTTCCTCTAAGCTTATAGGTATCAGGGAACATTGTTGAATCACTGAGTGAGAGAGGGAGAGACTTGGAAAGGGAGGATCCCAGGACAGGAGGGGCAGGCGGGAGGAGCTGGGGCTGCAAGCATCTTGGGAGGCCGTGGGGAGGGATTTGTCTAGGAGGATAAAAAGGCTTTGGTTTTTGGGTCGCCTCAGCTAGGCAGGGCCTCTGCTTGTGCTCGGTCAGAACGGGGTCACTGGGTCACACACAAAGGGTGGACAGCTTCTGCCTCCCTGCTCCCCCCGTGACCCTCGTGTGGCCCTGCTGGGGAGGCGGTGGTGGGACAGCTGCCTTGCTGCCCTGGGGCTGCTGGGGACAAAGCTTTTCTGGAGGCCTCCTCCTGTCCACACAGGATTTCTTCTCCACCTGGCAATTTTGTCTCCTAGGGTGCATTTGGCAATGTCTGGAGGGGATTTTGGTTGTCACAGCTCTGAGGAAAAGGGTGCTACTGGCACCTAGCGCACAGAGGCCAGGGATTAGATTGCTAGGATCTGGTAGCTATGCACAGATTGCTGCTAAACATCCTCTCATGCACATGGCAACCCACCACAAAAATTCTCTCATACAAGATGTCGACAGTGCCGAGGTTGGGAAATCCTGCCCTACATTGTCCCTGAGCAATCGCCAGCACTTAGAATAATATATTAAAAAAGGTACCAATACTCGCGGAACTCCCACTCTATTGCCATTTTTCTACTGCTCTCCACCGCTTGCCTGGTAAGCACTTTCCTCTAGAAACGTCCTCATCCACTGTTTTTCATGGCATCAGATGCTCCTGGTTTTCCCCATACATCCCTCCTCTCTGTTTCTCCAGGCCTCCTTCTCCTGTTCACCCTTCACATGTCAGCATTCCCAGACCTCTGCCTCAGGCCCCCTCTGTCTCACTCTGCATGTTACCCTCAGACCATCCCAGCCATCACCACCAGCAGTTTCAAGCAGATGACTTCAGAACACTCCTGTTTCCTCTCCTTTCTCCCAATGAAGAGAAACTGGAAGCTCCTCTTTAAGATCCCATGGCCAGGCACTCCGCCTTAAACTCAGTCTGTTTCAAACAAAGCAGATCTCCCTTGGCCCAAATGTGCTCCTTCTCTTGTATTTGATCCTAGGCAATGGCAAGCTCTGGGAGTCAGTCTCTGGCCGTCTCTCTTCTTCACCCCATGCATTAGATTGACATTAAGATCTTCAGTCTTACTCAAGCAATGCCTCTTACGTCCATTCCTTCTTCACTGCCTCTACTCCCTCAGATTCTCATTAGCTCATCCATACTTCCACCCATCCATCCATCCATCCATCCATCCATCCATCCATCATTGACCTATTTGTCCATCATCTATCCATCCAATCATCCATTTATTTATACATCCATCTATCTATGCATCCATCTATCCATTCATCAATTCATCCATCTATCTGTCCATCCATCCATCATTCACCCATTTGTCCATCATCTATCCATCCAATCAACCATTTATTTTATACATCCATCTATCTATTCATCATCCATCCACTCATCAATGCATCCATTAATCTATCCATCCAGTAATCCGTCTGTCCACTCATCTACTTATTTATCCATCCATCCATCCATACATACATACATCTATTCATCCATCCATCTACCTATCCATCTATTTATATACCTGTCCATCAGTTCATCTATCCATCCACTCATCAATCCACCCATCTATTTATACATCCATCCATCCATTCATCCATCCATCCATCATTGACCTATTTGTCCATCATCTATCCATTCATCATCCACCATCATCTATACATCCACTCATCCATCTATTCATGCAGTCATTCATTTATCTATTCATTCATCCATCTATTCACCCATCCATTCATCCACCCATCTATCCATCCATCCACCCATCTATCTATTCATCCATCCATCTACCCACCCACCACTATGACAAACATTAATTGGGTACCTGCTAAGTGTATGGCACTGGGCTAGATTTCAGTAAGCGGCTATGAAACAATTGGACCTGTCCCCACCCTCTTTTTCCAGGGCTTCCTCTTACCTGGTTTGCCTGGCTAAAGTCTCACCTGCCCACCCATCTTCCTAGCAAGGGGGAAGCCTGAAGTCATCATGAAGCTTCTACTAGACCCGTCTCCTCTTGCTCATACCTCCTCTCCCAGTTACCCACACACCTACTCTTCCATCACCCATTCCTAACTCTTTAGTAGAATAATAATGGATTGCACTTTTAAGACTTTGTTCTTTACAAAGCACTCCTCATTTTATGCTGGGAGGATCCCACAGGACAGGCTGAACAGATGGGATTATTTCTGTCTTACAGATGGGGAAATAAGGTCTCAAGGGAGATGTGACTTTCTCAAGGTCACAAAGGTGGTAAGCAGTAGACTGGGGAATGAGTCATTCTGTGGTGGTCAGAGCTCCAGGAGGGTCCACAACCCATTTTGTAGGGTCCCGATCCCAGCCCACCCGGACCCACACCCACCGATGGCTCCTGTGTCACGGGGCGCGGTCTTGCGCGGCCTCCTGGCGTCGTCCTCGCACACCCACTGCTCACAGCAGTGGCCGGGTATGTTCACCCGCCGCGGGTGAGGGCACCAGAGGCGCGGGGGACGCGCGCGGAGGCAGAGCGGCGTGCAGCCCACCGCGCCGTCGATGCACGTGCAGCTGTACTTGCAGTTAGGCTGGAAGGACTGGCCGTTGCTGTAGCGCACCCCGTCCAGGACGCAGCCCACACCGACCACCTCTGCAAACACAGGTGGCGGGTCAGGCCCAGGGGCCTTGGTGTCCCTTTATAGGGGCTCCATGTGGACCATGCCCCGATCCTGGGGATGGCTCCCAGCATGGAGGAGGAACAGAAGCACAAGGGCAACGGCAGGGAGGCATGAGAGCGCATGGCACAGGGCTGAGTGTTTGGCTCAGCAAAGGGAGTGCGGGAGTTCCTTTACAGCTTTGGCCAGCACCCAGGGAGCTAAAGGGCGCAGCATTCCGAGGGGCTTGCTTCCTGCAGGGTCCCCAGCACCAGGCTGACAAATACCTGCCGCTAGGGCTCATGGTTCTGAGGGTGACCGACTTAAAACAAGCCAGAACACTTCCAAACACGTGTTCCGTTCATTCCGTACACATTTAGGAGCCTTCCAGAGGCTGGGGACTCAACAGTGGACAAAACAGGCAAAAGTCACGCTCTCGAAGAACTTACACTGTGGAAAGGTCACATGGAACGTGGACAGTCTCAGCTGTTTGGGAGGAAAGTGTAGCAGGGAGGGGAAGTTGGGAGTGGGGAGACAGTGGCAAATTTATTAATAGCTGTTTCCCTGTTTAGAAAAAAAAGTGCAACTCACTGCCAGAGCTCCTTTAATTTTATATAGACATGCTCTTTGAGATTGTAGCAAATCTGACTGATTTTCGATGTGAAAACAAAATATAAAAATGTTTCTTTGAGTTTTTTCTAAACAGAACGTCAGAATTGCCTGAATCATCAGAATAATCTATTTCAGAAAAATTGGATTCATCAAATGAATCTCAGCCAACTGCTGGAGAACAATTACGCATAGGGATGCCAGGTTTTCTAGGATTCAATATTTTCAGTGATCGAGACTTAGTGTATTTTGTCAATGGAAACACCGCTACTAAAAACACAATGCAGTAAATGAATGATGTGTTTTGTTTTCCAAGTTGATATTCTAGAATGATGTAAATAGAATAATAAAAGTGAGGTATTTTGTGGCAGTTATTTTGGGGTAAAGGCTGTGACCTCAAGTGCTGCCAGTGAGCATCCTCAGCGCAAATGGGAAAAGGGTTAAATCGGGTGGGTGGGGAAGTCCTCACCAGGTGTCCATGCTCAGCAAAGCCTGAAAGAGGATGAGGAAATAAGCCCACCCAGGGATTGGGGGAGGAGCTTTCCAGGTAGGGAGGGGCCTGCTTAGGTAAAAAGGCCTGGAGTGGGAGCAGGTCTGGACTGTGGGAAGGGTATGGGGAGGAGAGACAAAAGAGAAAAGGGAAATAGAGGAGCTCAGAAAAGGCTTCCTGGCAGACTCAGAGGAAGGTGCAAAGCTGTTAGAGCCTAGAACTGTGCCTGGCACATAGTACGTGCTCATTAAGCAACTGCTGAATGAATGACACAAAGTTCGCTCTGCAAGAATACTCATGAGCTGAGTTGAGATCAGAGGGTAAAGGTAGTATGGGGGACCACCCCGAGACCCAGGTGAGAGGGAGGGGTCTGAAGCCGGAAAGAGAAGAGCTTGAGCTCGGCTTCCAGACAGATTTGGAAGGAGAGCTGCCAGGACTTGCTGACAGAGGGGCTGTGTCGGGGAGAGGAGTGGGGTCAAGAAGGAAGAAGATGCTTTGTCCTCCTTGGACAAGCGGGATTTGGGCTGGGTGGACTCAAGTGATCTTCACTGCACGCGAGACACCTGGTTGACAACCGAGCAGCCATGTGAAGTTAATTATGCAAGCTTGTAGTTCCAGGGAGTGCTGGGGACTTCTGAGCCAGATGTCACCCTTGACGCCGCACTCTCTCTGGAGGACAGCTTCCGGAAATGCAGGCAGAGAGCCCCCGGGCATCATGAGTGACCACCCAAGGAGGAACAGTTTGGAATCTGCCAACAGTTCTGTCCTTCAGAGTTTGCCTGAAGGTGGCTATTAATAGTAGTAACAATCCTAACATCTAGCAGCCCTGAGGGCTTTCTAGACCGCCTGTTATTGGATACTGGGTCTCCTCTGTATTGTGCTTATTGCATTACTTATTTTATTCTATACAGAAACACTATCACATTGTCGTCTTCATCTTTATATATAGCAAAACAAAGTTACAACAAGGTGAAGACACATCGCGTCCAAAGTGACCACAGCGGGAATCAGAATCCTGGTTTGTGTGAACCCTGCTGTGGCTGTTTTTCCTGGGGTGCGGTTATTCATGCAAAAGGTGCAGAAAGGAAAGACGCTAACATCAACTGACCCTCTGATCTAGTGCCAGGCACCATCTGATACATTATCTCATTCAGTTCTCCCAATAACTTCAGGAAGAGAATTTTATTTTCCTCCTTTGACGGACAGGAAAGCTCTCCAAGAGGTTAAATGATTCAGTTGTTCAAGGTCATGACGCTGCTGAATGATACAGCTGGGACTCAAACCCAGGGGACCTGACTCCACAGCCCATTTCCTTCTACCAGACACCAGTGAAGGAGGGGACAGTGGAAAGAAAAAAAAAAAAAAAAAACAGAGGAAGCGCTGGGTTGAATCACTCATCTTTGCATTCTGAGTCACCCTGCCTCTGCCTGCACGCTGTCTCTCCAGGAAGGGAGGGTGTGTGTGTGTGTGTGTGTGTGTGTTGGGGAAAAGGGATTGGGCTAAGCCCAGGGCTCTGCCCCAGTATCGGAGACTTTGAAGGCAGAAGTCAGTGCTGGCTGCCTGGAGTCCCCAGCACAGTGACTCTCCCCACCAGCTGCACAGGGGAACCCCAAGGAAACCTGAGGAGCTTTTAAAAGTTGTGATACTGGCTGGCACAGTGGCTCATGCCTGCAATCCCATCACTTTGGAAGGCCAAGGTGGGTGGATCACCTGAGGTCAGGAGTTCGAGACCAGCCTGGCCAACATGGTGAAACCCCGTCTCTACTAAGAAATACAGAAATTAGCTGTGCGTGCTGGCACGCACTTGTAATCCCAGCTACTCAGGAAGCTGAGCAGAAGAATCGCTTGAACCCAGGAGTCAGAGGTTGCAGTCAGTCGAGATAGCGCCATTGCACTCCAGCCTGGGCAACGAGAGTGAAACTCCATCTCAGGGAAGAAAAATGTGATGCCCATGATGGACCTCAGAATATGGGAGTGGACCTGGGTGTCAGTATTTTTCTTCCGTTAATCTCCATAGTTTTAAAGTTCCCCAGGTGAATCCTGTTTGCAGCTAAGGTTGAGAACCACCGCATCTAAAACGTGCTCCAGTCTCTCTCCTTGGAGCTTTGGGTGGGGAAGTGGGGTGCTCCTTCTGGCTCTGACCAGCCTGCTCACCACAGGCTAGTGGGACACATAGGGTTACAGATGGTCCCATCAGCCAACTCTTTCACTTTCTAACTCATCAAAAGTGAGATGATGAAGTCAGTTGGGTTTCCTTCAGTACCTCCTATCTAATCTCAGATTTGCAAGTGCAGGTGTGATCTAGTTAGTTTTCCTCTTATTGAAGTACTTTCAGGAATTCAAGTCAACTTGCTCTGCCATCAGGCCTTCCCTCCCTTCCCACACTTCCCATGGACTATCAGCCCCACTGCCAGCAGGGACAGTGGATCACGCCTGTCGTAGCCCTGTTTGAGATTTCTCCCTCATCTGTGTTTATTGTGTGAAGAATCAATGGAGGGAGGGACGGGGTGAGCTCTACTCTTTATTCAGCTCCTGCCATGTAGCAGGCACTTGACATTCCAGTCACCCAGAGATATAAACCTTCTTTGTCACGAAGGAACTGAGACTTCAAATTACCTAAAGTCATAGTACTAGTGAGGGATGATGATGCTGGGATTCGAGCTCAGTTGTCTAGGTCCAAAGACCACGCCTGACTTTACTACTCCATCATGCGTCAGTATGGGGGATCTAGGCCTGGAGCTAGACCTGCTCCCTCCTCTGAAGGTGGCCGTGGATAAGAGTGAAATAACTTTCCTTGCAAACCAAGAACAGCCAGTTACTTTCTTTTCTTTTTTTCTTTTTGCATTTTCTTATTTACTCTACAACAACTACATGAGGTTGGTTTTATCAAGCTCCTGAAGTGATGTGCATACGGTCACGTAGCTAGCAAGTGGGAGAGCCAGGATGTACAACCCAAGTCTGTCTGCCTGTAAATGTCATAATCCTTCCACCAAACCACACTGCCCTCAGGCCTGACCCAGCTGTATTTAAAAGTAGTGTTTGTGCAACTGAAATAGCCAAACGATGTAACTCAGAGGTCACCTTCTGCCCACAGATGTATTTAGTTTGGCTCACAGAGCGGTTTAAAAATATTTCTGAACGTATTGCCAATGTTTACAAATCATACACAAACTTATATATCTAGATTCTCTTGAAAACTAAGCATGCCAAACAAGACCTAGCTTTTTTTCTGCTTGGCCATAGTGGCTGGGCCCAGTAGGGTGATCTCTGAGAGCCAGAGCTTGCACACACCAGATTGCCATTGCCCCCATCATCCTCTGTTTGGTTATATAAGCCAGGGTTGCAATTGCTCATTTTTATTACCTGCCTTGTCCTGATCTAATTACATGCAAATCTTCAAGGATAGATTTAGCCTGTCCTGGGAACTGTCCATTGGCTTAGCTGACCATTTGCAGAAAGAGTGTTTTTTAGAGGGACCCTTTGTTCTGTGTTCCCTCTGGCCCAAAAGTACCTTCTTCTGCACACCCCACACTCTCTTCTTTCTTGCATTAGGGTCTCATGAATTCAGATACTAAGGCAGCGCTTCTGGGAACATGTTCAACAGAGCACTAGTGAGTTGTGGGCACATGTATGCATGTGATGTCTATATGTGTAACTGTGTGTGTGTGTGTGTGTGTGTGTAGTGTAGTGTAATGAGTGGGTAAGAATCTACCAGAATGGAAAAATTTAGTGTTAAATATGTTTGAAAAAAACATTATTATGAAGCTTATGATAGCTCTCTTTTGGAATTTGGCAATGGACATGAACATTTGAAGCCTCCAAGAATTTCTATAGCTCCTGTTTAGCTTTATTTATCTCAGTGTTTGCAAAACTTCGTGACCAGGGAACCAGTGTGTGTAAAATTGATCACAATCTCCCTTGGCCTACGTTTTTTTTTTTTTTTTTTTTTTTTTTTCAAATAAAAGGAAAGGAAGTACACAGAAGCCCATGGCGTTGGGAAGTTAAGTGGCTGTGCTGGGTGAGGGCAGGGCCTAAGATGTGAAGAGACGGGGTGAGGAGGACAGGGAAGGTGGTTTCCAGGCCGCTGGTGGAGAAGGCAGGCAGAACAAGCAGTTTCTGGGTTCACACAATCTCTGGATCCAGAGCAGAATGTCTATAAACGTGTAGTGCCTGACAGATGACAAGATCTCAACATAGCTTTAGAGATTAATGCAAGGCAGTGAACAGAATTATCTTTCTAATGACCTTGAAAAACCATTTTCACAGGGGGAATAAATTATGAAACAGATCCATATAACAGGAGGTGGGTCTAGTGTAAGAAGACCAGGCCAGGTGTCCCTGGGTTACGGGGAGGGAACAGATGACTGACAGTATATTAACAGCAATTCTTGAACTTCAGCATGCATGAGAATCACCTGGGAGTCTTGTTAAAGGTATAGAACCCCATTACCACTTCCAGAGAATTTAATTCAACAAGTCTGGGTGGGGTTTAGGAATAACATTTTTAACCAACGCATCAGATGATTCTGAGCAGGTGATGCTGCAAGTTTTCTTTGAACATCCTGCTTATGTGGCTGCTAATGAGTTTCAGTAAAAGAAGAAAAACTAGAAAGATGGGAAAGTGGGATGGTTATTCACAGAAAGCCGAAGACACAATGATTGGTGTGAAAGTTGAAGCATGAAACGATGATAAAAGAAAAGAAACTGTCGTAAATTAACCATGAGGTTCAGATAAAATAACATTGCCTGACTGCAAATGATGTACATAACCCTCACTGACAATCCACCTCAGGAAATACAATGATTAGCTGAGGATGAGAGATCATGTTACATGTGACTACGTGATGGGTGTAAATGGAGTCATAGTTAAGGGCAAGGTTTGATTAGGCACTAAGGGAAGAAGGGAGTTTTTGGTTTATGAAACTTCAGGGAAGTTTTCAGAAGTTAGGCTGCTGCATCATAATGCCTGGTTACTTCTCTTAATCTGATGAGTCATGTATTTTGAGTAATGCTTACACAATTCAAGGGAATACAAGTCCAGACAGAAGCGGGAGGTCAGAAAGTTTCATAAAAGAGTTGTCTGGGAACGAAAAAGGGCAGGATACCCATGATGGAGCACTTGAAGACCAAAGAAAACAATGACCAACAACAATCTTACCTCTGAACAGGAGAATATCGTAATAGACCAAAAATAAAGAAAAAGCAAAGACAATGAGAAAGTCCAGGAAAAACAAAACGCATCCTAAGTAAGGAAATTCAAACAAGTACATGATCTCTTACTGCAGTGGACAATATTTACATAGTCATAATATTATAAATACTGATGATTGTATAACCAAAAATTATGACAATGATATTTGGAAGGTAGGGATATATCAGGTGGTGTTGGGGAGCTAAATCATCAGTGATCATAGAAAATTAATAGCTTATACAAAATCAATATATCAGGGCAATTAAGATATAGCAGGAGACATGCATTTTATGGTAGTAACTATCAGAAGAAATAACGAGAAAATTCAAGTGACTGTAATAACTGGGAAATTGAGAAATGTCGGTAGCCGGTGGGAAGGGCTGACTGCAGGCTGCTGGTTTTCATTCTTTCAAGACTACTGGATTTTTAAAACCATATTGTTTTAATTTACAATATTACCAAAATATCTGAAGTCCTGCAGTACTGGTGTGTCCTGGTAGGCCATGGGCATTTTTTAAAAGGTCCTACCACTAAGAGAACAAAATCAGGCTTAGGTATTTCATGGCGTCTCCCTCTTCCCTGGGAACAGCCATGAGTGTGCCTCTAGGACTGAGAATAAAGCAAGATGCGAAGTTCTGGAAGCAGGAGGATTGCAGGCATCCTTCCCTCCCCTTCCCAGGAAGGACACAGCCTCTGGCCTCTGACCATGGGGTATACTTTCTGCTAAACAGAAGCCTGGCCAGGTGAAAGGCTGTGGGGGTCCCAAGGCAGAGGGGTTTGGGGCCAGAGCTGGGGTTGCCAGGGGCTGGTCAGAAGGTATGGAGGGGCTCACTTACGTGCACACACTCCTATTGCGTACCTCGGGCGGTCCCCGCTGTAGTCACAGTAGAGGCCCCGGTGGGGGTCACAAATGGCAGCCTCTGTGCAGTTGTCTCCAAGCTGCTGAGCACACATCTTACAGCACTCACAGCCATCTGTGATGAGGCTGACCCCCAGCGGGCAGCGGGGTGGGGATGGTGGGCACTCACATGGCCACTTGCAGAATTGTGGGCGCGAGGAGGTGTCCTCCAGCGGAGCTGGGGTAAAGTCCATGGTCGTGAGGGTGGGCGAGAAGGCCTGCCGAGGAAGAGCAGCAGGGAAGGGGGGCTGCTGAGGCAAGGGTGTCAACGCCTGAAGGGCCCGGCCATTGCATTTCTATCCTCATTCTGTTCAAAAGGTTTTCAAAAAAATTACTTTGCTATCATGCTTTTGATGGCCAAACATCTCCTTTCTTCTCAATATAACAAATAAAACAGGAGCCAATATGCAGCGAAGTTAAACCAATTGCCCAAATCCCTCTGCTGGTCAGTGGCAGAGCCCAGATGCCACCTCAGCCCCTGCTCCTGTCCTTTCTTGAGTGATTGTCCCAGCAGCCCCGAGGTAAGTGAGGTGGCCTTACAGGGAGGAAGCCGAGGCCCTGAGCAGGTAGAAACTGGCTGCACGGGGCGCGGATCACACGGCTCTTCTGTGAGCCCTGCAGGGACGGCTCCTTTGCTCACTGAGAGTCCTTAAGGCCTCTCTGAGTCAGAGGGCTCCTACCTCACACCGGTTTCAGCCCACTGACCTACTGTTATTTTTTTCCCCTCTGAGTATTGGAAAGGGCTGGCATGGTGCAGCAGCAGGGGTCCAACTTTCTAGCTCCTGGGAGCTGCATGGGCCCTGGCCCGTGAGGAGTTAGTCCTGCTTCCTTTGCCAGCATAAGCCCTGCATGGAGGAGCCTTTTTATTTTGTTCTCAGGGCAATGAGACTCCCCCCCACACCCCCGACACACTCCACTCCACCAACCCGCACTCCTCCCGCATTCCCATTCCCAACCCCCACACACAGCTTCATCTTTATTCTGGCACATGTGATGAACGTAAAAACAGGTCAGCTGGGAAGGGACACCAAGGCCCGAAGAGCTGCCCAGGCCCGAGGAACAGCAGACGGACGTGCCTGGGTGTCGCGGTGCAGGAGCTTCAAGCTGCCTGTATCTCCGGCACGCAGTCACCTGCCGGCCCATCTGGCTGCCTCCCTGAATCCCATCTGTGCCCCTCGCTCTATCTTGAAGGAGACCTTGGCCTACGAGCGGAAGAGAATCGCCTGAGGACACAGGCGCCGGGGCTGGAGCAGGCTGTGAGTCAGTCTTCCCACTCCAGAGCGGGCCATGGAGCATTCTGTCCAGGGCTTCTCATCCTTGACATCTGAGTTCTGAGGCAAGCAGAGGTGAACCCAGGGCTTCTGTGGGGCTGGGGCAGGGGCCTGGCTGGGCTCTGGGCTGCTCCCTCCATCTGAGAGCAGAGAAGCCTGCTTTGTGGGGTTACAGATCTGCCTTCCACTCTGAGCGCCAGGCTCTGGTGCTAAACTCTGCAGACAGATTCTTCCCTCCTTTACAGGAAAGGAAAGCAAGATCCAAAGAGACTGATGGACGCTCCCGGGATGACACAGTTCACGGGAAGGCCAAGACGCGAACTAACCTCCCAAGTCGCATTGCAAGACCATTCACTTTTGCCACCTCCGGGTTCTTTCACTCAACAAACATTTGCGGAGTTAGGTCATAGTCTTTCTTAAGTTTTAAACATTTCAGGATAAATTTTAAAAGCCTGACTGGGGAGCCCACAGCTTCTGGGAGAAGCAAGCCTTAGAGGCGATTTACTACATACAATTCGAGGCATTGACTCTGCAAATTGCTGGGCATCTGAGGGAGGCCAGGAAACTTGCTGAGCACCAGGGCAATAATCGCTCTACCCAGGTGGGTGGGGTCTGCTCTTGTACCTTGGAGGACCAAGGATGAGGAAAGTGATTGAGATGAATTTCTGAATTAGCCTGACTTGGCTCTGAACCTGGCACACAATAAATGCAGTAAATATCGGTGCAATAAATAGTTCTTGCAAGTCAACAGACGAAACCCAACTTGAAGCTCATCACCCATAGGCTGGATTTCAGGACGTGGTCAAATCCACCCTTTCCCTTCCTCACGGCCGCTGTGATGCAGCTCCCTGTGGCTGAGAGGCTCTTCCTATCTTTTGTAAAAAGATAGGGCCCCGTTTCTCTGGGCAAACTCTCCTGACCGCTGACCTACATGTGCCTCGCTTTCCCTTAAGCTGCTAGGCAGGCTCAGCAATGAGACATTTGTGTGTGTTTGGAGGTGGATGCCTGTGAACTCCATGGAATGAGGGCAGGGGAGGGGCAGCCACCCATAGAGTGCCTGCACAGTGCCAGTCTTCGTTAGGAACACATGGGTGCTTCTCTGTTAGGGCCCAGACAGACACCAGAATGGCCAAAAAGATCTTGCCTGCAGTCCCCTGCAGGGAGGAAGGCTCTATGTGCGATGTGGCCTTGGAAGGCCTTGCTGCTGGGGAGCAGAGAGCTCTCGGGGCTGGCAACGCTGGGTGGCATTCACCTGGGAGGCGACAGTTAGCCTGCCCTTGCTTGTGTTTCCTCAAAACACAATAGGATGCAAACCCCTACATTTCCAAATCAGTAAACACATAGACACACTCTCTCTCTCTTACACACACACACACACACACCCCTTTTTTGACTTTTAGGAGAGACGTTTCACTATCAGGCCATGCCCTAGAAGCCTCAGAGCCTTGTGAGCACTAGCAGACCATCTCTGAGAGTTCCCACAATCAGGATGTGCTCTCAGCAGAGGAAATGAAGGTGCCCTCTCCTCCAGGAAAGCTTCCCTGCTCTTACCTCGCTCACTGAAATGTGAACTTAGAAAGGGCAAGGCCCAGGCCTTGGGTCTCCTGTGCACCTGAAACAGCACAGGGCACACAGTAGGGCTCCATATGTGTGGATTGGTGAAATGGATGGATGGGGGATTGTCGGCTAAAAGGGCTTTGACCAAGTCTTTGATAGTCAAGGCATCACGTACTGGACCCTCTCCTCAGGGCACTAAGTTTGGGTGTCAAGAAAAGAGCATACAACTTGAAACGGTCCGATGTGAGTTATTTCCATGTGGCCTCGAACAGCATTTTCATCCTTCTGAGCCTCAGCCTTCCCATCTGTGATATGGGCACAATCACGCTCACCTCCCTTTGGGGGCAGTTGGGAGGGTGAAGGGACACTGTGGATGTGGCAGCACTAGGTAGGGCCTGGCACATGGCACATGGCACACAGAAGCCTGTCTCCTCTTACACTCATTCAGTTGTGGGTTCTCCCTACCCCCACTGTGCCCAGAACAGAGCTGGGGGTCTGGACCCTTTGAGCTGAGCTGGCATGGGCTGGAACCGGGTGGATATCCCACTCCTGGGATCACTATCCATCCTCCTATCTCCATCCAAAGTTAAAGATGCCCAGAAGGAAGCTTCCTTTCTAAGTGCCTGCCTGGAGGTATCAGGGCAGGCAGCTGGTTAGGGCAGACTGCAGAGAAGGCCTCCTTTGGACAGGGAAACCACTTATGGCATCCCCGGGCAGAGGAGAGAAGGGCTGTGGGCAGTCGGCTGAGCCAGCCTTTGTGGTTGGCACCATCTAGTGGTGGAAAACCTCCCTGACTCAGGCCAGGGGAGAAGGTGCTGGACAAGAGCGGCGCAGGGAGAAAACCTCTGGACCCCAGGGCCTGAAGCCTCCTGGGTTTGGTGTGTGAGCCTCTGAGTGCCAGCTACCTTGCCCAGCATTGACACCTAGGGCGTGTGTCTGCAGGCCTCAAGTGAGTCCAGACTCCTGATAATTGATCAATCCTAGCCTCTCTACGTGAGTACAAGGGAAAACAGATGACTGGCCTGAGGTGGCGTCCGCCCTCATGCACTGACAGTTGAGCTGGGGATGTGCATGCTGACTGAGTCATTCTAGGGACAGATGATTATTGAATCCCTTCTATGCAGCAGGCTTCGTGCCAGACTGGGAGGAGACAGAGGTGCATAAGACAGAGCCCCTGACTGGCTCTCCACCTAGTGAGGCCAACAGACACATAATCAATGATTGCAATTCAGTGCGATCAATGCTGTGACAATGGCGTCCACTCACTTATTTATCTCCCCTTTCATTTAGTTTTTCAACACATCTGTAGTCAGTTTTTTTTTTTTTTTTTTTTTTTTTTTTTTTTGAGACGGAGTTTCGCTCTTGTTACCCAGGCTGGAGTGCAATGGCGCGATCTCGGCTCACCGCAACCTCCGCCTCCTGGGTTCAGGCAATTCTCCTGCCTCAGCTTTTGTATTTTAAGTAGAGACGGGGTTTCACCATGATGACCAGGATGGTCTCCATCTCTCGACCTCGTGATCCACCCGCCTCGGCCTCCCAAAGTGCTGGGATTACAGGCTTGAGCCACCGCGCCCGGTTGTAGTCAGCTTTTATCAGGTGCTGGACATGTAGTGTGAGAACCAAACAGACCTGCCTGTGGGATGACAGGGCGCGGCTGGGCTGTGTGTGTGCTGGGGCTGAAGAGGGCTTCCCAAGACACGAGGCGTGGGGAGTGGGCTTTGAAGCGGGGGTGGGAATAGAGCAGTGAGGAAGGAGGAGCGGGAACCCAATGCACAAGGACCCGCAGGTGCACAGGCACTGAGCTGGCAAAGTGCGCAAGAGCCCGGGGCCTGGAGAGCCTGGTGCAGTGTGCAGGGTGGAGGCAGGAGGAGGTGGAGGCTAGGATGGATGAGGGTGGGCTCCAAGCAGTTGAATCGAGGAAGATCTCGGATGCCTTGCTTGGGCTGAGGTCTGTAAGAATGATGTGTTGACGGATTTTAGCGGGAGGATGGCCGGGTTAGATTTGTGTTTTAGAAACACCACAGTGTGTCCAGTCCAGCCTTTGTCCCTGTTCATGTCACTCTGGGAGTTAACCTTCTGAACCCCAGACTTCTCCTCTGTAAAATCACATTGCTACCATTACTTGCCTCCCAAGTGACTGTCCACGAGCATCAAATGAGGTCATAGCTGGAACTCCGCCTGTAGTCCATTCATTGCAAACCGTCACTCCGATGACCACGTGGGGCCAGTGTTGCCCTAGCCCTCAGTGATCTCATGTGTCTTCTGCACAGTGACTGGTATTATTATTCCCATTAAACTGGTATTATTATTCCCAGATGAGTAAAGTGGCTTGCCCATGGCTGACATCTAGTAAATGACAGAACTTGGATTTGAATCTAGAGCTGTTTGAT